CACCCGGGCGGGCGGGAGGGCCGGGGTTGGGGCCCGGGTTGGGGCCCGGTTTGGGGGCCGGGCAGCACAAACCCCCGAGAGAGGGAAGGAGGGACGGTGGGGCACCCCGGACCACCCCCGGCCACCCTGCGCACGCCACGTGCATCTCAATGATGGGCTCGTCCCGGCGAGCCGAGGGGTTACTGCTCAAACTCCAACTGCGTACAGGGAGAGGTCGGCGGAGGCTAACGCTCTGTTTGACAAGGAGGCGAGGGCTTTAGAGTTCACGGAGGAGGAATGGGTGTGAGGGGGTGGCCCAGGGTAGGTGGGAGGGGTGGGAGGGGGTGGCCCTGGAAGGAGGGGGTGGCCCAGGAAGGAGGTGGTGGGAGGGGGTGGCCCAGGGAGGAGGGGGTGGGAGGGGTGGGAGGGGGTGGCCCAGGGAGGAGGGGGTGGGAGGGGTGGGCGGGGGTGGCCCAGGGAGGAGGGGGTGGGAGGGGTGGGAGGGGGTGGCCCAGGAAGGAGGTGGTGGGATGGGTGGGAGGGGGTGGCCCAGGGAAGAGGAGGTGGGAGGGGTGGGAGGGGGTGGCCCAGGAAGGAGGTGGTGGGATGGGTGGGAGGGGGTGGCCCAGGGAGGAGGAGGTGGGAGGGGTGGGAGGGGGTGGCCCAGGGAGGAGGGGGTGGGAGGGGTGGGAGGGGTGGGAGGGGGTGGCCAGGCATGCAGCTCCCAGGTTTTTCTGGGTGCTGTTGCCGCTGACAATCAGGTCAATTACATCTTGAGGGCTTGTTTTTTAATTAGAGGAGCTGACTTGTCAGTAGAAATACGAGGTGGTGAATGGAATGGCTGTGTTTCTTCTTCTTCTGTCGAATGAACATGTGTGGCGATACACCCCGCCTGTATGTTTAAAGTTGGCACCGGATGAGGTGCCAACTTTAAACATACAGCAGTCAAACTTTCAGGATGCGTGCCTGTCATTAATCCCAACGAAACTTTTGCGCATTCTAAAATGTGTGATGGGATTTAATGGCTGCGTCGCATGGCTCCCTCTGTCTTTGTTTTGTGTGTGCGCGTGTGTGTGGAGAGAGAGAGGGGCGGGGGGGGCATGCGACGAGGAAGGTCGCTAAACAAAGGGGAGACGGAGTGACGAAATCAGAGGCGTGTGTTGAGTGTTGTTGAGCGAGCCGCGTGGAGGCTGAACCCCCACCACCACCACTACCACCACCACTACCACCACCACTACCACCACCGCCACCACCATCGTCATTGCCACCACCCCGAGGGCAGTGGCCGTGTAAATGAGACACGGGGACGGCGCAGAACAAAAAAGTGACGCAGATCGACGGTGCCCCGAGTCGTGCCCCACTATTCATTAACGCGGGGGGTGGTGGGGGGGCATCGGTGGTGCCACACACAGCCACTGCCCTGCGCGTCCAGCCACAATCGTGCAGCGGCGGCGTTGGGGGAAGAACCGAAGGGTTTGATGTTTGGAGCAACGCTGCGGTTGTAAGGGAGGAAGAACTCGGGCTCTGTAGGACTGCAGAGATATCAGCCAGCGCTAGAGTCTGCATTTACCAGTGCGGGCTAGAGGCAGCCTTTACTCGTAGGGGCTTTGGTTTATTTTAAACGAACGTGAGAAGTTCAGAGCCGGGGTGGGCAACCCGCGGCTCTGTACTCCCTGCTTCGTGACGTAATGAGTGTGTGTGTGTGTCGTCACATCCGTTGCTGCTCTTAAATATTGAGTTTTGTACCGAATTCTAATGTTTTTTTTATCATCTGGTTTAGAACAAGAGTCAACTTTGAATTATAACACGAGGTCCAGGGAGATTGCGAACGAGAGTTAAAGTTGCTCGGAACAGGGGCTATGGTCTGTCTAATCCGTAATACGTGCTGGACATTGGCACACAGTGTGTCACCGTAGATGGTGAGGCCTGTATCCATCCAGCATTGGTTGAATAATAACATGTAAGTGACACGACTGCCGTGTCACCTCGCGCCGCACGGGGACAGCTGCCTCTGGGGGTTCCCTCTGAAAAATGTTTGCGATGAGTTGTAACGTCACCAACCAACAACGCCACGCGCATGCACAGAGTAATATTATTCCACCGTGCCTGTAACGATAACAACAACAAATGCACGTGGTTTTTATTTTACCAGCCGGTGATGTGACCTCAGGTAAAGAGATTGTTGTTGTTATTGCTGTAACTTCTGCGTGTGTGGGACGCGTCACCCACTCGGCACACAATGGGACTGCCGAACAGCGGCGCTTATTATTATTTATGTATGGAACGCATGAACTTTGGAAGCTGAAAACCAGCATTGATTTTCTGACACGATTAATAAATCACCACCGAGCCCAGGAGCCGCCTCCCCGCGCCAGTTACAATGGCGAGCTGCTATAAACAAGTCCGCGCGTGTCACCTGTGCCGATCCGACACCACAGTAAATATGCGCGCAGAGCTGCCCCTAGGGTAGGCAGCGAGGCGGGGCGACCGCCCCGGGACCCGCGCTTTGGGGGTCCCCGCGTTTCGACGGATGCACCCCGCTGTGTACGGCGCTGTATGGACGCGTGAGGGACGCGTGTGCAAGGGGGCCTCGGTCACGTGTTCTCAGGCAAATTGTGACGAATTGAATTCTACACTACGTCGGTCGCCGAATCGCAGACGCTTTAGCACACGGGGTTACGTTGACCAAAGAGTAAAGATTGCTCAGACGCTGGCCAAGCAGACCCAGGATGTGAAGTAGCATTGCCAGTGGGCATCAGAAAGGTCCAAGCTAATGACGGCTCTTCACTCATTGTGTAGTTGTGCAGGACTTGTGCGCACCACGCTCTGCGGATGGTGAGACGCTCCGGAAAATAAAACCGCACCTAGGATTTTGCACGGTTGGCTACGTACGGTGCGAAAGAAGTTCAACATACAATACGCGATGGCAAACTTGTGCCCGGTTTCAATAAAGTTCTATAAAATCTGGTAAAAAAAACACATAACTACAGCTACCTGATTAAAACGTGCAACCCAAACTTTTGCTTCCAACTACAGGGGACAACATTCGTGTCTTATAATCCAGAGAATACGGTGTACTGCGTGTGGTATCCCTGCATCTGAGCATGGCCAAGTGTTCCAACATGAGTAGTAGATTGTTGTGGTTTTGTTGTGTGCGGCAAATGCATAACCGCTTGTATGACGTCGAGTGCACGAGTGTATCATGTGGGGAGTGGTCGTGGATTGGGCCACGAACCCAGATACCCGAGTTCGATTCCCGCTCACGACCAATAACAGTGGCGAATATTTTCAACGGGTCCTGGGCCTACCCCTAGGCCGACTCAGCCTCAAATGGGTTTCTTTAGCACCGTGGAAACATCACCACTGGAGTAACAACGGCGGCCGGGCGTGGTGCTTGCCTCTCAACCCCCGTTATGTGCCGGCTATCATGGGCGCTCGCTAACAGCACTTGCCCCAACGTTCTATCGAGTCTATACGGGTGATCTTTGTCTTCGTGTGCCCAAGGGAAAGCCTGTCGAGCCGAGTGACGTTTGTCAAAGCAAACGCCGCGAGCGAGACCAACGCAGCCCCGGTTGTAGGTGGCGATGTGGACAACCGTTCCCTTTGGAAGCGCTGTCACGGGCGGTGATCAATGCGAGGAACTTGGGGCAATGGCGCGAGCGTGTAGCGTCCTGGGAATGATGATGACGACGACGATGAGTGACGGGGCCATCGAGGACGCTACAGTGGTTGGTGAGCTCGCACGTGTCCACGCGCATGACAACGCCGTTTGCTAACTGCGCCCCGCTGGGACGAGTATGCGGACCGTGACAGCTGAATGACAGAGGCCCGATGCCGACATCAAAGCAAGGTTGGGAGCGCTTAAACTCGTTCATCTGTCTCTCCTTAACCGGGGGAGAGGGATGGGTGGTGGGTGGGGGGGCATGATAACTATCCCTATTCGATGGTATTCGTGCGTACGTTGGCAGCTGCAATGTGAGTCGGGATGTCGAAACCAATGTCGAGCGGTGCTGGCCACGACGGGAGGGCTTCAGCATCGAGAGAGAGAGCGCGAGTTCGTGTCGCTGTTCCTCCTCCTCCTCCGTTGAAGGGGCGCAGGCTACGGTGCGTTGACTGTGTGGTCCATAGTTTGAGTTGCATGGCCACAATCGCACGACTGAGGCTTGTCTATTTAATGTTCCGTTCGTGAAGGAGATGCGCGCTTCTCGTAAGGATCATCCAATATGAGACAACGAGTACTGCTAAGTTGTATCGCTACTAGGGAACCTACCCTCATTTAAAACCGGGCCACGTTATTCAAATTGTTATCAAATGGGTCGCCATGGTGGCGAGATGTTAACTACCTCGCCTGGTATACAGGAGATCATGGGTTCAACCCCGACCCTGACGCCTGCTGAATATTTGGAGTTTGGGTGTCTCTCTCTCCGATGGTCGCGTGATTTTTTTTCTCGGGTCCTCCGGATTTTCCCCTCCACATTTAGAATCAACGTGCGTTTAGGGTGTTTGGTTGCTATCATTTTCCACGTGAATAGACACTTCGTTGAGCTATCGCTTGCGATAGCCAGGTCGCTTCTGGAGAAGAGTTACGTATCTCAGTGGGCCTTACCTGGTACAACAAGTATAGTTTAAAAATATTGTTTAAATCGGTAAAAAAAAAAGAATGCCCAAAACTTTGAGCACAAACCAAAAGGCCTCCTGGCCACTATGCGATGCAATTGTTTTGTGGCAGTTATCCCCGGGGGCTTCCGCCTCTTATACGCACGCGGTGAGTTAACAGCGGTGCATCACCGGCATGCGCACGTGTGCGTGCGTGACGATGAGAAGCCTCGCCCCGTCGCTTCAAACTGCCGCGCCCGGAGAGATCGAATCCGAACTGGCGACTCCATTGCATCGCACGTTCAGCACCGCGGGCTACTCAGCGGCAGCATTGAAATCAATCGCAAATGCCAGGGGCAAAGGGGGCAGCCCTGCAATTCCCTCGCGCGTGACGCCGCCGCTCGACCCTGTCTCTTGGTGTTCACCCGTAAATGGAGTCCTTGTCTCTCTTGACGCTGTCGCCCGACGCGGAGCCGAGCGGAGGAGGCTGCGGGTGCCCGTAGGGCGGCGCGTGCAGCGGGGGCCCCGGGGGCAGGTGGTGGTGGTGGTGGTGCAGGCCCCGGGGGCCGTGCGGGTCGCCGTAGACAGACGCGGCCATGGCCGGCGTGAGCCCGTCCAGACCTCCGTACGGGAGCTCCTCGTACTGCCGACAAGCACAGGGCGGGGGGAGACATGGGGTTGCTAACGTGCGGTGCAAAAGAAGTTCAACGTACATGCGTGTAACATACATACATACATGGGGAGGGGGGGTGAATGTTGTGCACGTGGCGATCGACTGAATGCATCGGCGGCATCTCAAAGCGTCTCTCGTCACATCTCAACCACGGCAACGGCCCCCAGTTGCAGTCCCGTCACCAGCCAGCGTTTGCCAATGGACATGAGGTCGCCGGTCAGGGTCTGCTTGTTTACTTGCTACGGCACGAGGGAGGCGGCGGTGATTTTGCACTCCCGTCGTGTTCTTCTAGTGCTTGTTGTTGTTTTAACGTTCTGACCCCGTGCCCCTTTATTGGACAAATGTCGAAAAAAAGAGCTTTATAGCTCATCGGATTCCTCCTGCAGCGCACGTAAATATTCGTATGATGATTCTGCCACGACTCATGGGTGTAGCTGCTCCAGGGCGCCCCTCGACAGCGCTACTTGGGCTGCTCATCCCCCCTGGCCGTTACTTTTGTATTCTGAGCCAGACGGTCCCAAGTTCGACCTCTCCATCTCGGGCGGCGAACGTGAGCCGGGTGGGTTCCAGTCAACCTCAGCCCCCGCGTCGGGTATCGAGGAAGATACGACGGGCGCTTAACTCGTGTTGGAAGCAAACTCAAATAGAAACTTCAAATCACGGCCACACGGCACCGTCGTAGCTTCTCCTTGCGAAGTCGCCGCATGGATGCGGGGCGTTAATGGGTGACGGTCACAACAGGGGACACGGCCATAGTGAGCCGGGTTCACTACCGTGCCATCGAACTCGCGCGGGAGCGAGCGGGACACGCGGCGCTGGGTGTGCATAGCTACGAGTTGAGAGCCGTGCGGGGTTTCGTGTCCCTGTAAAGACCAACCCCCCATCCCCCCATCCCCACCCCCACAGCAGTCAGTGACGGCAGTGGTCGGGAGACGAACACGGAGTCAAATTCTCGCGAACGTGCACACATTCACTCACACACATTCACTCACACATTCACTTACAAGTTCAATTACACGCACATTCACTCACACATTCACTTACGAGTTCAATTACACACACATTCACTCACACATTCACTCACACATTCACTTACACACACTCCCTCGCTCAGACTTTCACTCACACACACATTCACTTCACACATTCACTTCACACGCACACACACACATTCACACACGCACACACACACATTCACACACGCACACACTCACACACGCACACACGCACAAAGACACATATCCTCCGTACCGTCTTCGACCGACTTCTGGGTCAAGTGTTGTTACCGAGAACCTATGAAGGCCAGTGCCACTTCCGCCCGTCTTTGTATCCCTCGTCCCGATATTTACACATCGCACCAGGTATTCATTTTAGGCTGAGTCGACATAGGGGAAAGCCCAGGACCTGTTCATATTTTCTGTCTCCGATGTGACACACACACACGTGCATTTACTCACACACACATTCACTCACATGTATACACACATTCACTCACACACATATTAACTCATGTATACACACATTCACTCACACACATATTAACTCATGTATACACACATTCACTCACACACACATTAACTAACATGTATACACATTCACTCACACACATTCACTCACACGCACATTAACTCACATGTATACACACATTCACACACACATTCACTCACACGCACATTAACTCACATGTACACACACATTTACACACACACATTCACTCACATGTATACACACACACATGCACTCACATTCACTCACACACACATTCACTCACATGTACACACACATTCACTCACACAGACTTTCACTCACATGTATACACACACACATTCCCTCACACACACATTCACTCACATGTACACACACATTCACTCTCACACACATTCACTCACGCATTCACTCACGCATTCACTCACATTCACTCTCACACACACATTATCTCACATATCCACAGCCACATCACTCACAGACACATCCACTCGCACACCACGAAACTTCACGAACCCGAACTGTCTGGTGGAGTATGGTGGAGTGTGGTGGAGTGAGCGTGGTGGAGCGTGGTGGAGCGTGGTGGAGTGTGGTGGAGCGTGGTGGAGTATGGTGGAGTCTGGTGGAGCGTGGTGGAGTGTGGTGAAGTGTGGTGGAGTGTGGTGGAACGTGGTGGAGTGTGGTGGAGTGTGAGTGTGGTGGAGTGTGGTGGAGCGTGGTGGAGTGTGGTGGAGTGTGAGTGTGGTGGAATGTGATGGAGTGAGTGTGGTGGAGTCTGGTGGAGCGTGGTGGAGTGTGGTGGAGCGTGGTGGAGCGTGGTGGAGTGTCAGTGTGGTGGAGTGTGGTGGAGCGAGGTGGAGTGTGGTGGAGCGTGGTGGAGTGTGGTGGAGTGTGGTAGAACGTTGTGGAGTGTGGTGGAGTGTGAGTGTGGTGGAGTGTGGTGGAGTGTAGTGGAGCGTGGTGAAGTGTGGTGGAGCGTGGTGGAGTGTGGTGGAGTTTGGTGAAGTGTGGTGGAGTGTGGTGGAGCGTGGTGGAGTGTGGTGGAGTGTGAGTGTGGAGGAGTGTGGTGGAGCGTGGTGGAGTGTCAGTGTGGTGGAGTGTGGTGGAGCGTGGTGGATCGAGGTGGAGTGTGGTGGAGCGTGGTGGAGTGTGAGTCTGGTGGAGTATGGTGGAGCGAGGTGGAGTGTGGTGGAGCGTGGTGGAACGTGGTGGAGTGTGGTGGAGTGTGACTGTGGTGGAGTATGGTGGAGTGTGGTGGTGCATGGTGAAGTGTGGTGGAGTGTGAGTGTGGTGGAGTGTGGTGGAGTTTGGTGAAGTGTGGTGGAGTGTGGTGAAGTCTGGTGGAGCGTGGTGGAGCGTGGTGGAGTCTGGTGGAGTGTGGTGGAGTGTAGTGGAGTCTGGTGGAGTGTGGTGGAGTCTGGTGGAGTGTGGTGGAGTGAGTGTGGTGGAGTGTGGTGGAGCGTGGTGGAGCGTGGTGGAGTTTGGTGGAGTGTGGTGGAGTCTGGTGGAGTGTGGTGGAGTGTGGTGGAGTGTAGTGGAGCGTGGTGGAGTGTGGTTGGGTGTGGATGAGTGAGTGTGGTGGAGTGTGGTGGAGTGTGGTCAGTCCCACGCCCGTGACCGGCACGGCGTGTGGCGGCCTTTATCCAGCAGCGAGTTCAAAATCACTCACAACAAATAAAGTAACCCCCCCCCCACCACACCTCCTTTATTATCGATCATTATCCGGATTCAACGCTGCACTTTCAACCACCGCAATCTAACGCCGGTTGCTGTGTGAGTGTTTGACCAGACATCCACCGGGCGCACGTCTTGGGGCGCTGTTTACCCTCCCGAGCGAGGCGTCTTATAATAATCGCGGGAGAACGCGGCACGACGCAGCTCGGCCACATGCAGACGAATCGACAACTTCACGGGACTCCACACACTCGCCCCGATGCTGCCGATTCCCACCACTCACTGACTGTGCGTGCGTTTTTCATGCCGAGTGGACCTAGCGGCTGCACCCACGCTACTCCGGGGCCCGCGACGTTTCGGGCTACGGCCCTTCTTCATAGCGCGCAAACGATCCATCCGAAGTCCAGCTTCGGACAGCAATGTCTGGTTGCGATTAGTAACCCGAGTCCGATCGCCCGGTGCCGCGCCCGTTGAGATTGAAACCCAATAGCGTCCGTCCTGTTAGCGCGCCTATAAGCGTCTCGACGCGTACTGTCAGCGAGCATCTATTTTGGCTACTCAAGGGGGGAGAGGGCGGGGGGAGGGGTGGGGTTGGTGGGGGTCACTCTCAGGCACGGCTCGCAGGTCCGCGAGGTCGGCACGAGCAGCCCTCGTATGCATCATTGCGGCGTGATGGTGAGTCGACACAGAACGGGAAGGCGATGCCAACAGCAGCGGCAGCGGCTTCCTCTGCGCGTGATCGCAAAGTGGGCACGCGCAAGGGACGCGTTGCCACGCCGTCTGCTGGCGTGGCACGCCGGCGTGGGGCACGGCACGGCACGGGTTCCAATTCACCGCGGCTTAGCGAGCTGGGTTGGAACTCCCCGTGCGCTAATAACGCGCGGCACGAAACCGACCTGCTTTAGGCGGCCCGCGCGCGGCAGCGTCCACGAGTTATCATTACGATGATTATACTTTCATGGCTCTCATCGAATTACCCTAATTATACGGCGGTCTCCCCAAAGGGTCTTAACGTGACATTTACTCTCCGCTCGCAGGTTTAGCGATGCTGCGCGTCAACGCGCGGCCGTGTCTGTTCAGTGCAGCGGAGCGACTCCGTCCACGGCGCGCTGCGCGATGATCCGCGGGGTGCCACGGGCAGCTGGAGGCGAGTGAGCCCGAGTGCGTAGCTGTGAACTCCTTATCATCAGAGCCCCGAGCTTGTCACAGACCACTTCAGACCTTATCGGTCACCCCGTGCCCCTTATACATCGCAACGTTCACCCTACAAAGTGCCATCGCAAGGAAGAAACGCAAAGAAATAAAATGAACAAATGTTGTCCGTGTTGAAACGGCTGTACTGCCGTATGGGTCTGAAAACTCAATTTCCCTGCACAAAAATACGGGGTAAACCGTGTGGGTTGACACGGCATGGAGATGCGTGCTGAGATGAGCACTGGTATGAGTACTCGAGTGGTGAGTCGAGTATTGAGTGGAGCATTTTGATGAGTATTTCAGATTAGTGCTGCGACGACCATTGAGACGAGTCTAGTATCAAGATGAGTAACCATCGTACTGTACTCGGTTCTGAGAATCGGAGCACAGGCGTGCAGTGTGCGCATTGAGTTGCAATCCAGGCAAGTGGCATGTTTAGTGAATACTTCGTCACCGTCCGTTCCTCCCAACAGACATGCAGCCAGCAAATATTTTAAAAAAATTATTTGAGTGCGTGTGTGTAATATGATAAACAGATATTAATTAACTCGCAGATAATCGATAAATATACTTCGCTGCCCTTTATCAACTGATGTTATCCCGTGACAACAGAAATA